CAATTCATGTGAATATGACTGAAAATTTTTATTTTTTCTGAAAAGGTGGTGTCTATTTACTTGTGACCACGCTGTGTATATACTAAAGCTTAATTTTTCTAAGCAATGTTTACTAAAGATTTCTCTAACCGTTACATTTGTTATCATCTTGTTACAGTATAAAATAAACATTGTCTTAAGTAACGGTTAGTCTTACTACTACATTTTATAAAAATTATTTAGACAGCATATTTTTTCACATTCTTCTTAAATTGTCTAACTTGGATTTCAAACCAGAAGTGTGTAAAAATAACTGTTTTTTGTCTCCCAGAAGTCACTGTCCAGGATGACTTTCGTTCAGTACCAGGATTCTAATGCTTCGCCAGTTTTTAACATTTAAACAGTACGACACCTCTATTAATTTAACTTCATTATTACTTAATAAACACTTATTCTGTTATATTTCTTGTCACATAGATATTGTATTTTGGGCATCATTAATTTTTCTATCCACGGATATTTTGCAGTCCTGCCAGATCTAGTTCTAGTTTTATCGACATGATTTTTTATTTCCTATGTAATCGCATTACGAACTTTCTGCTGTGGTACTTTCTTGTTACAGTGTATTTCTAAATTTCAACTTATTAACGCTTATGCATAAACCTGATAGTTTTATATTCTCCTACACAGATGCATTTCTTATTTTATATACATTGATGTTACAAGCAAGTCTGTGAGGCGAATTCGATTCTATGTACTTTCCGATACAAATTGTTGTTATTCTGGACTCTAGTCAAAATCTTTTTTTTTTTTACTATTTCTAATGATTCTCTTATGTTTAATTCATTTTCTTGACTTTACTTATTTAAATATTTGTATATTATCCCAATCAATATTATGTGAAAAGTTCGTCACATGTTCCGCCAAGGCCAAATCACTAGTTTTTGATTTATCAAAGACATTTTTGTGTTCTTTAATTCGAAACATAAAATTCTACTTATCTCAGTTGTTTGTCCCATATAACTTAAACCACAACTACCAGAAAATTTATTTTTTCCACCTCCATCCTTTACTTTAAGTTTATCTTTAACACCATTAATGATATTAATAAATTTGAATTGAGGAGTAAAGGTTATTTGAGAAGTCGTACATATGGAACATATGGCAAACGTATT